GTTATAATTATTCCTATTATTATTTAACATTAAGTCTTATAATGAATAAGAAAGCATTACATTCACTGGAATGTCAGTTAAATTTAATGCCCATATTTTAGTTTCTTCATACATGCAGAATGTGCTGAACGTCAATGCGATAGCACTTGGCACAAGCCCTGAAAGCTTCTAAGACTAGGATGAAACTGTCCCTTCTTAAGAAGCCAGGAGCCCTGCATCCTGAGGTTCTTCCCTTAGTTGTGGGGTCCAGGATGCTGGTACTGTCCTCAGGCCTCCTCCCCAGCCACACTGCACACCTTGAGGCGCTTTTCTCTCGGGCGGTGTGAGCACTCTCTCCCTCTATCACCACGCCAGGGAGTACAGCTTTCTTATGTGCTTGGCCACAGAATTTGGACAAGGAAGCGGGACCTTCTAGGAGCTTCTCCCCTCCCTAGGCAAAACTTTCTAGTGACTAGTCCACATAGTTACTGGGAAATTCAGCCATTTCCAACACAAACCATGTATTAGTTTTACCTCTGCATGTAGGGTTTACCTGCCACCAAAGTCTTTTGCCCTTGCGTCTTTGGATCTTGCACTTGAACATGAGAACTACAAGAAAACAAATCACAACAGGAAGTGGCTCTTGTGTGTATTCTCCATAGTTTATATATTCGCCATTTCTGTACATCATCAGAGGAAATGGGCACTATTATTCTCATTTTCTCGACAAGTAAACTGAGACTCAGGCAGGTGGAGGGACTCTGCTTGCTCAGATAAAGTTGGCAGGGGATAAAGCCAGAACTTGAGCTCAATTCTTATGACTTCTGTTCTGACACCTCCTAACTCCATTGCTGCTTTAGAGTAATGTTTCCAACACTTGTTAATACATTTAACAAATCGTAATTATGCAGTTACTTTAAATGTATTTTGTGCATTCAGTGAGATGCATGCTTCTCTTAACCTATGTAACAACCCCTAGAGTAGGCATAATTATTATCTATACTCTGTCAATGAGGAAACTAAGGCTGCTGGGCTCAAGGTCACAGCATTACCGTATGGAGAACACATGCTCCAAACCAGTTAGATTCCCAAGCTTATGGTTTTTTTTTAATTAGAAATGTTAATGCTGACATTATTGCAGATGTCCCCCTTCCTCCCCCCTCCCTTTGCCCACAGGCACCTACCCCTTCCTTGGCCTGCACCAAACTATTGTCCATGTCCATGGGGTTTGCATATATGGTCTTTAGCTAATTGCTTCACCTTCCTTATCCAGTGGTCCTCATCCATCTCCTCTCCTGCAGCAGCCAGTCTGATCCACATGTCCATGCTTCCAGTTCTCTTTTGTATATCAGACTATTGTGTTCATTAGATTCCACATCTTAGTGAGATCATATGGTATTTATCTTTCTTTGACTTAGTTAGCTTAGTATAATACTCTCTATGTCCATCTATACTGTTGCAAAAGGTAAGAGTTCCTTTTTTTTTTTTCAGTGTAGGATTTCATTGTGTAAATATAACATAGCTTTTTTATTCACTCATCTGCTGGTGGGCACGTTGGCATAGATATATGTCCAATCAGCTGCACTTCCAGATCTTGGCTATTGTAAATAGTGCTGCTGATATTGCTCAGCCTCTCAGCCAAGCACCTGCTCCAGGAGGTTCCCCCTTTCCTTGACTCCCCTTATCTTATCAGTCTCTATGTTGCTTCTTCAGTGCTCCTAGATATATGTCCAATCAACTGCACCTCTCTTGGCTATTCAAATTGATTGCAAAATACTTGAACTGTAATTCCAGTCCTTGGCTGGGAGCAAGGGTGCATAGCCCAAGTTACACTGCAGCACGCTTGAATCCTTGAGCTGTGTTGCTGAACACCTCCCATCAGGTTGGCTGGGAAGGAGAGAAGGGAAGGAGGACATGGCTGGAGGGGCTGAGAGAGCAGAGGGATGAAGTGTGACTGACTCTACCCGTTCCAAGGACCACGTGTGCAAACCTGGGGGTGTTCTGGCACTGCCAACCAGCCAAGCTCACTTGCCTTCCTTGTCTGAGGATGCAGCGGGGAGAGGTGCGTGCAGAGCCAGGGAATGAGTTATGTCCAGTTAGAGGGCCTTCTCTCCCCCAACCCTGGGCATGGCACCAGCCTGGACCCTGTCCTCCAGTCTCCTGTGCCTGTCGCAGCGAATGCAGTGCAGAGCCAGGGAATGGGTTATGCTCATGTTGTGCACCGACCAGTGGCCTTAGTGCCACTGTGCATTCTCAGGATGGAGGGAGAGAAGGGGGCCATGCTTGGGTGGGTAAGCCAGGCACAGGGATGTGGCTCCTGGGGCTTCCTTTCCATTCTAGCCTTCTTTGGAGAGAGCCAGCAACTGGATGCTTTGACTCAAAACTAACAGTGCTATTGCTTTTCTGTAGCTGACAACAGGAGTGGAGTATCTGGCCACCGTCAAGATTAGTCGGACCAAGTGCAAAAAGAACAGCACAAAAAGTCGTTCGTGCCCCCAACAAAGCGAGAAGAAGTTGAAGAAGGTGTGTGGTGGCTGTCATTTGAAAAGGGACTCCTAAGGGAGAAAAGTCAAAACTTTGAACGTTAACACAAATTGGACATTGACAGCTTTTACAGCTGTGTGGACTGGGGCATAGCCAGGGCACAGCCCCATGGCTGCTGAAACCATTCAAGGTGCTGGGGGTAGGAGAGAGGCCCTCTAATTGGACAGTCCCCCCCACCCTGGGCATGGCACCGGCCTGGACCCTGGCCTCCAGTCTCCTGGCCCACCCCCAGCCTTCAGTGGAAGCAGGATTTTTCTTTCTGTGGGGACCTTGTTCTGTCATGGCTTGCACTCTCCAGGCCCCTGAGGATTGTTTAATTGCCTCCTTGTCTTCAAGAATTTGCTCACTCTTTTCCTGGTTCCTCTTGGTGATGTTACCTACTGGCAATTATGAGTCTCCCTGTGCCTGAGTGCAGTGCCTGGGGTCTGGGGTCTGAGGAGGGCTTTCCGGTTGTGCTTGCTCCAGCTCCCAAGTAGCTGGGCAGAGTGAGCCCCAGGTGACATTCCTGTTCTGGGCCTTAAACCCCACTTCCCCCTTCAGATGACTGAGCAGATCCTCCCCACCCACATGGCCAGGTGCAGCCTCAGCCATGATTCTCAACTCCCACTGAGGGTCTCAGGGCAGGAAATTTCCCTGAAAGCTGATTGTGTCTTTCTCCTTCCACAGAGTTTCATTTGCGATTTTTTGATATACACTGTGCCCTGGATGAACTATTACGAACTTTGGAACAACTCCTGTCAGGAGGCCCACTAGTAAATGGGTTTGTGCAAAGATCCTCGATGAAACCTTAGATGGCTGTGCTGTGCATTTTCTATTACAGACTTCTGGAAGAACCTCATCCCCCTCAGCAGGGTCTCACTACACACACACCCACACATGTACACACATATGCACTAACTCTCACACACTCAGCGCGCGCACACATACACATACACTCACATAAACCTAGGCACACATTCACACACTCTCACATTCACACTCACTCATTTACACAGACAGTGGTCTTTAGAGGGCTGGTTCAATCTGAGCAGGAGGTTGTTACATATTTGGAGGAATCTCATAACTTTTTCTACATCAGCCTGTATCTCTGAGGCAGCCTGTATCTCTTGACCTCTGACCTGAGCTTGAGGGAGCTCTGTTTCTTTTCAATGCACATACAACTCCGTGACTGACACGTGCCTTTTTGAGTGTATCCATGATCCCCTAGACCAACACCCCCCTCCCCCTCCAGTATCAGATTCACTGGAAGGATTCCCAGGACTCAGCATAGAGCCATACTCATGGCTGTGGTTCATTATAGTGAAAGGACACAGAGCAACATTTGCAAAGGGAGGAGTAGAATGGAGAGATGAGCCTGGTGGCTTTGTTTAAAACCCTGAATCACGCTATTGGGTGATGCTTATTCTCCACTGCTAATTGCCATTCATGGAAGAGGAGCCCCTTACATAGCATTCCTGCTTTTGCTGTCCTCATCACTTCTCTCCAGGAGAACTTAATCGAATTGGCCTATTTGGGAAGAAAAAACTGGGCATTGTAGTCCAGGTCCTACTCTTTCCTACCAGGGGCACACATTTTCCTTGTCAACTCCAGGAGAGGAATCTCTCTGTGAAGAGACTTGCTCTGGTCCAATGTCGCTGATGATGGGCATATACTGAGAATGTGTGTGTGTGTGGGGGGGGGGAGGGATAGGTGCGATCCACCTGTGCCTATCACAGCGAGTGCAGTGCAGAGCTAGGGAATGGGTTGTGCACATGCTGCGCACTGACCAGGGGCCTTAGTGCCACTGTGCATCCTCAGGATGGAGGAAGAGAAGGGGGCCATGCTTGGGTGGGTGAGCCAGGCACAGGGATGTGGCTCCTGGGGCTTCCCTCTCCATTCTAGCCTTCCTTGGAAATAGCCAGCAACTGGATGCTTTGACTCAAAACTAACAGTGCTATTGCTTTTCTGTAGCTGACAACAGGAGTGGAGTATCTGGCCACTGTCAAGATCTGCCAGACCAAGTGCAAAAAGAATTTGGTATTAGAAAGTGCACTTGCCTATAAAAATAAGGCACGTCTCCCAACTTAGTCCTTATCAGTAACAAAGGTCTTTGAGCTTTTGTAGTTATATTATTTCTCTGTGTTTTGCATTTTAGACAAGAAAGGAGATACTCTTTATTGGACCTCTCAGGGATGCCATCATAGGCCATACTTGCCAATATCTGTTGGCTTAAAGCTTCTTTCCTCTTCTCTCTTCTTTCCCCTTTCTCTGTTTTGTTTTAATCTAAAGAAACCTCCTGGGTGTGAGGATAGTGTTGAAGTTCAGCTATCATGCAGGTTGTGTAGGCTAGCAGGCCAGAAATTATTCATGTCATCTCATTTGGACCCCAAAACTGCCCTGCCCAGAAGACCTTCAGATTATATTATTATGAACTGAATAATTTGGGGGGAAATGGAATTTTACACATTGAGAACATTAAGAGAACAGGTGGACAAACATTTATTTTCTGTACAGGGAATTATTGCGTATTGCAGGATACTTCCACATAGAGTAACCACAGGTTTGTGTTCCAGGACACCTAGCCATTGGTGCAATTTTTGCGCAGAGTTTTGTACTTTTCAAACCAGGGAACAGCAAACACTGAATAAAAGCACTCAATTTGCTAAAAAACAAAAAAAACAAAAAACAATATTTTAAAAAGATAACATGTAAGGTGGAAATTTTAAAGGGGAAAGAAAAGGATATAATACTTGTGGATGGTTTATTCTTTATTGTGACTTTAATCATTTGATAGTATTAGAGTTGAGGTCATTCCAGAAAATGTCCTTCTATTTGTAGTTAAACTTTGAGACTAGAAATAAAGTGTCCACCCTGCATATATTCACTGACTGTTTTCCCTCTTCATTTTTATTCGTGTTGTTTACTTCACACTTTTTCTTACTTGACCTGTACTGGCTTCATCAATCCATCCATCCATCCATACATCCTCTCAACCATCTCCATCCATCCTATTTCCATGACCAAGCCTTCCTTTCTTTCGCCCTTTTTTTCACCCAGACCATCCATCTTTCTTCCCTTCCCCCCATCCTTCATTTATCCATCCATATACTCATTCATCACACCCTCTTTTTTTCCCTTGCCCCTATTCTCTCCCAAGATGTTCTTTTATTTTTTAACTTCCTTCTTCCTCCATAATGAAAAATCAATAAATAAATTTTGCATATTATAATTTTTTAGTGTCAGTTTGTTTTCCTACTCTTCATTGGAAAGTCCAGGCTAGGGGATGTGGTGGTGGTGGGAGGCTTAACTATGCATTTACATTTTTTCTAAAATAGAAATCAGAATACTAATTCCACCAATTAGTCATATCAATAGGACCCTCCAATTTTACTTTACTGCTATCTTCAATTACTTTGTTAATAGCGTTCATGATCTCTAGGGAAGAACTAAAAAAGTCTATTTTGCTAGATTTTGAAGAATTATTTGTGATGAAAGTACAGAGAGAGCTCTTGATCACACGTTTCTACATTGAGAACACTCCAGGCCATTATAACTAGGGTCACCATATAATTGATGAACCACCATATAATTGATGAACCAGGACATGCATGCTGTAAGCAAATGGAGATGGCATTAGAGATGACAATAAGAAGCTAGGTGCAATCAGGACTATTACGGGCAGGGTGGGACATAGGAGCATCCTCATTCTTACTCATTTGGGTAAAGAGAAGTGATTTGAAGGGCCTATGGACTTTGAGACCTTCAAAGCCCTATGCAAGTTGGCCTATCCTGACTGCACACTGCAGTTATGAATATCTGGCCAGCCTCCCTTGGATGTGACAACACTGGGTGGGAATGAAGTGTGGGCAGGAGGGATTGAAACTAAGACACTGCTGGGGGAGGTGGCTCCTCAGCAGATCACACACAAACAGGTTTGACCTCCCTTACCCCAGCCCACTCCTACCACCCATTAAACTATCTCTGAACTCATTTTCTTATCTCCCATTTTGCCTCCAACACTGCTGGACAAAAGAGACAGAGGCCAGTAGCCCAGTGGTTTTGTGTTAACATCAGGCTGATATTCAGAAATCCATCAGGGCACACCAGTGAGGTCCCACTGGCTGCTGAAATAGCTAACTACTTCCTTCAGCCTCAGAGTGTTCCCTGGAGCTCAGCCACTTAGCCTCCCCCTCTCAACCCTTTCGACCGCCCCATTATTTTTCCAGCAATGAAGAGCCAGGCAGGATCTGGGCCACTCTCACCTTCACTGCTCTGTTTTGAGAAAGCAGGTGTTTGTTACCCTGATTCCTTTTTAAGCAAGCTCAACTATATCCCCAATAATTCCACCCCACATCATTCTAAAGCCACAGGCAAACCCTATTAAAAAGGAGTTCACCCTGAGTTAAGGTGTGTTCACCCAGTACCTTGTAAAGCTCCCCTTCCTGAAAGCTGCAGTTGTTGGCCTCCAGCCGTTGACAGGTGGTCCGCCGCATCTCGAAGTTCATGTGGTACTCCATGTGGTCGGTGATCTGTGGGAAGCAAGTGGCAAGGAGACAAAAGGATTTCTTCTTCTCCATAGCTTCTGGGGGTGGGACCTCTTTCCAGTGGTGCCAAAGGGCAAAGACTCCATCCTGGATAGAGTGGTGGGTCCCTCTCTCCCCTAACCATCTGACTCCCATGCCTCTTTTTGTCATTTGAGGATAACTCACTAGAAACCATTCTGTGGGCAAAGCCACCCATTGGAAAATCCAAGTGATGCCAATTATACCTGTACAGGGTCTGCAAACTTTGTCTACAAAGGACCAGAGAGCAAACATTTAGCCTTTGGGGGCATGTGGCCTCAACTCTGCAATTACAGCACAAAAGCAGCCCACAGGACATGACACACATAGTGTGGCTGGGAACCAATAAAACGAAACAAATTATAGAGGCAGCAACAGGCAGATTTGGCCCTTGGGCACAATGCACACTGACTCTGGAATTGGGCACCACTTAAGCAACTTTATCAGTGAACTTATGTGTCTCTTCAAATGCCCACTTCACATTAAATGAGTCTGAATTTCATGTGAATGGTCTTGCCCCAGAATGTCAGCAGCCCCCTGGCACAGGGACACGGGGAAGAGAGGGGAGAGGAGCCCCACTGACCAGCTTCTTGACCTTCAGGACACGCACAATCCGGAAGTTGTACTTGTCATCACTTTCCTGGTTGAACTCATTGGTCACGTACTCCAAGGTGGCTACCACGTAGGGTACTGATGCAGCCACTTCATGGACACTTATAAAGGTCTTCTTTGCTTGGTAGGTGAAGGCCACTAGGGCCACCAGAATGGCCAGGAGAAGCTGTGGGGCCTGCCTAGGTCTAGCCATTGCCCTGCAGCTCAGGGAGCCTAGGAAGAGCTCCCTCCACGTCCTGGTTCCCAGGGACCCTGACTGGCCTGGCAGATTTAAGCCCATCCATGGTGGACGCCCACAGCTCTCCTCCCCATCTCTTCATCCACAGCTGAACCTGATGAGCAGGGGAGATTGTGCAATGGCTGGCAAGCTCACTCTCACTTCCTCCTACCCTTTTGCATCCATTCATGTCTTTTATTCATACACCCATCTTCTCTTTTGGGGGTTGCTCTCTCAGCAATACCCCCTCTCCTCCTGCTGCCCCAGCATTATCTGGGTGGAAGCCAGACCAGGGGTCTCTGTTCACCGAGCTCGCCTCAGCTAGGAATGTGGGATGTCCGGAGCGACAGGAAGCACTTGAGACACAGGGGACACTGATGCCAGGGCAGTGGGGCATGAACAGGTGAGCTGGGTGAACACCACCACATCCTTCCTGACCTCTTGATCTTCCCTCTGATGTTTCTTGTCATCCCTCCCCACTTTACCTGGCCAACCGGGATACAAGCTTTCCCTCAAGCCCAATCCTTGGCCTCTTGTTCTGTGTCAATAATTCTTAACTTTGGGAGGCCTGGGCCCCGTGGAGAAGCTGATGTCCCCAGAAAGCAGAGGGTGTGCCTTGTATGGGAAGCAGGCTCCACTTGCAGATGTAGTCAAGCTGTGGCTTTATTTTCACTCTCTACTGTCCCCATGACAAACTGCCATGCTGTTTGTCCCCTGGGACCTTTTAAGACACTCTCAGACAGTGCAGATGGCCCAGCCCAGCAATGGAGATATTCCAGGTGGTCAGTAACTGTTCCAGACTGTCAGAGCTTTGAACCTCCTGGAGGTCTGCATGTGGGAAGAAGTAATTGCTTCCCCGCTTCCCCATCTACTCTGGCTGCTCTCCCTCCACCATCTCACAGCCCTGGGTTTGAGGACCTTCCTGGTGCTGCTTCTAGCGGAGTGCAAGGGGACTGGAAAGTTTCTACGGGCTTCAGCTTCAGTGCTCCCCAAACCTGGTGGAGTTTTAAAGCTGACTCTTCTGCTGGTGCCTTCCTGGCTCTCCCCTAACCTCCACTGCTAGTTAACCCGCCCTCCTCCCCCACCCCAGCTCTCTTGGCAGCTGTGTTAGTTTCTTCTGATTGCCCTATCAAGTTGCCAACAACAGTGGCTTAAAACAGCACACATTTATGATCTCACAGTTTTGGAGCTCAGAAGTCCTAAAATCAAGGTGTTGGCAGGGTTGCATTCCTCCTGGAGACTCTAGGAAAGGACCTATTATCTTGCCTTTTTTTTTTTTTTTTTTTTTTTTTAACATTTGTCACAAACCATAACAAGCTACATTTGACTTTTTCCCCCCTCCTGTTTCAAAAAGCGGTTTAGGATTTTGCAGTCTACCAGGGTCATTGTTTTCTTTTCTTTTCTTTTTAATATATTTTATTGATTTTTTTTACAGAGAGGAAGGGAGAGGGATAGAGAGCTAGAAACATCAATGAGAGAGGAACATCGACCAGCTGCCTCCTGCACACCCCGCACTGGGGATGTGCCCGCAACCAATGTACATGCCCTTGACCGGAATTGAACCCAGGACCTTTCAGTCCTCAGGCCAACGCTCTATCCACTGAGCCAAACCGGTTTCGGCTCATTGTTTTCTCCCCCCCACCCCCCATCACTATTTATACCCCCTATTCCCTCTTCCACCCCCTCTCCTGCCCCCTGTAAAACACCCCACCGTTTTCATTCTCTGATTTTGCCTTCCTGCCTTCTTATGGGTTATGTAGACATTTGGGGGGGGGGGGGGGCATTTCATTTTAATTTATTTATTGTGATTTTATCTATATCTTTTGTATAGTTTTTCATTGATTGCTCTATGGATGGTAATACACATTTCTAACCTTTAAAGGACGACTTAGGATCATTATTTCATTACTGTAGGTGGAATGTATTATAGAAATCTTACCATAATAGATATCTCCTTATGCTCCCTCCATATGTTAGAATCATTTTACCTATTAAATTATATACACCGAAAACTCCACAAAATGTTTGATTTTTGCTTTCAATCCTCAAATATACTTTAAAAAGTCAAGAGGGGAATAATTGTATATTATGTTATTCAAATATTTACAGTTATGTTGTTCTCTTATATTTCTGGTGTTCCAGGTTAACTTTTGGTATTGTTTTTGTCTGTCGAAGAGTTTGCTTTAACCCTTCTTTTATAGCTGGTCTGCTGGCATTGAACTATCTTAACTTTTCTTCATATGATAACATCTTTATATCACAGTCTACTTACAATTTCACTGAATATGGAATTCTAGTTGGCAGTTCTTATCCTTCTGTAATAACACAGGTTCTTTGTCAGAAGCAATACAATATTTTCCTGTTAGTGAATATGGAGACTTGGGTCATAACCCTACACTAGGATACACCTATTCCATTTTTGTCTCCTAGGGCTTAGATAATACCCTGGAAATATTGTCCCCACTTTGCTCATGAGCCTAGGGGACTGCTATGCTCCAGTTCTGCTTTTAAAAACTTATTTTTAAAAATAAGTTTTACTTTAAAAGGATCTTAAATATACAGAAATATAGTTACAAAGAACTTTCCTCCTGAAACATTTGAAAGAAAGTTGATGACATGATGTCTCATTACCCCAAAAATGTCAGTGAGAAATTCCTACAAGCAAGCACACTCTCCTCCCTGACCACAATGCTACCCGTGGGATCCAGGGCATAAATGTGGAGGCATCCATCCCTCCTGCTTTATCCTCAGACCTGGTCAAGTGTCAATGATCGGTCTGCCTACCCAGGCTCAGCCAATGATAGACCATCAACAGTGTGTTGCTCTGAGGATGCTCTGTGGGCTGGGGAGGGGAGAGGGCTTTCTAGAATAAGGAGCCTTTTTTTCTCCCAACAGCCCCTATAACAGAAGGATGCACAATCGTGGGTTACATTTGTGCTCCCGTTCTTCCATCTGAAACAGTTCTTTAGTCTTTCCTTGACTTTTATAAATTTGACACTTTTGAAAGGTTTTTATATTATAGAATTTTCATAAATTTGTATTTGTCTAATGTGTTCACTAACATGGCATTCTTGTCGGTGCAGAAACCTAGCGATAGGTCTGTCCTGGTCTGTGCCCATTGTCAGTCTCCGTGAATGCACCTCCCACATCTGCTCAAAGCCTCAGCCCAGGCTCCACTCCCCGGGGAAAGGACTCTCTGGCCTCTCAGTGGGTGCCTTGTCAGCTGTTTTGGTCCCTCTCAACATTTGAAATAGTAACAATCAGACCAGCCGAGAGCTAAGGAGTAGGAACGACCCAGTAGCAAGCATGTTCATGCCCTGGTTTATCATTCCAGGGTCAAGGTCAGAGGCGTGGGATGAGATAGGAGAGCAGAGGCCTGGGGGCTGCTGTCTGGGTTCCTTGAGCACTTGAACAATGTTAGCCAGATCTCTGTCTTTTCCAGCACACACATTTCCTTCTAGAAAGGTTTCCTCAAACACTCACAAAAATGCTTTGCCAGATGCTGGGAAAAAATTTCTATCATTTCTCAAATGATAAAATCATGACATTGAAGCTGGATCCTGGTTCTGATCTAGGGCTAAATGATGAGGAAAGGCTTTGCTTTGCACCATTTAAAATTTTTTTGCTACCTAGACGTACTTTTCAGAGCTCTCAAGAGAATAAAACTTGCTGCTAACAGCCAGTAACTCTGCCGTGTTCTGCTTAGTTTTGGTGGTTCCTTGGGAATGAATGATCTCAAATGTGGTACAGAAACTGGACATCCATCTGGGCAGGTCTTATATGTTCTGAGACACGTGACACAGCTTTGAGAGTGGCCAGTAGTGCTCTTGAACAACACTAATGCTGTAGAAGGAGCCAGCACCCCTCAGGGCCCCACATGTGTCAAACACAAGGCCCGCGGGCCAAATCCGTCCCGCCAGGCCTTGCAATGTGGCTGGCACCGCGCTGTCATCACTGCACTCCGCTGCGTTTCCATCACAATGACAGTTTATGACTGTTCAGTAAACCATTCGGCCCGCGATTTAGGCTGGATTTTAGGTTTTGGCCCCTTCTCTGATTGAGTTCGACATCCCTACCTCAGGCTAACTGGGGGACTGGAGGAGGCATGGCAGGTAGAAGTCAGATTGTGTTTGGGGAAGGGGAGCTCTTCCTTTCTGCTCTTCCTGCTGACAGTGGGACACCAAGAGGGCGAAGACAATGGCATTATGGGAGCAACCTGCCCTTTAGAACCACAGGCTTCTTTCTTCTAAGAAGCTAAATTTTCTGAGCCCCTGATATTTTTTTAATCCTGGTAAAACATACATAATATTTAGCACATGAGTCATTTTAATTGAACAGTTCAGTGGCATTAAGTACATTCATATTACTATGCAACCCTCACCACTATCCATCTCCAAACTGAAACTCTGCACCCATTAAAAATAACACCTTAATCATTCTTCCCCCAGTTGATTCCCGTCCTGGGCATTTATGTGTAAATTGTTCTCTTTGTCTCAAATGACCTGCCCTCCTGATGGTAAAATCTTCCACAAAATCTTACTTATTTATGTATTTATGTATTTATTTTAATATGTCTTTATTTATTTGAGAGAAGAAGGGAGAGGGAGAGAGAGATAGAAACATCGATGATGAGAGAGAATCATTGATTGGCTGCCTCCTGCCCCCCCCTACTAAGGATTGAGCCCGCAATATGGGTATGCGCCCTGACTGGAAATCAAACCGTGACTCCCAGGTTCATAGGTCAATGCTCAACCACTGAGCCGTGCTGGCTGGGCTATTTTGAAAATAGAGATTACAATGTTTTCTGCACAAGGTTTTTGCTTTATAGCCCAAAGGCTAGCACAAAGTCTGGCACGTAGTAGGTGCTTAATTTAAAAATCTGCAAATATTATTTGCTTTTGTGCATGGTATATTTTTAACAATATATAAGATGTTTAATAAAATTTATTCCTATAATTGGACATACACATGCACTTAAAAAACAATTATTGATGTTAGTTTTTATTTTTCACTCATCCCCTTACTCTCTTCCCTTTGACAACCATGAGATTGTCCTCTATATCTATGGATCTGTTTCTGTTTTGCTTATTCAATTGATTTGTTTTTGAAGATCCCACATATAGATGAAATCATACAGTATTTTTTTTTTTTGGTCTGACTTATTTTATTTAACATAATATCTTATGGCAAATTTTCATTCTTTTG